CTAGGAGAAGATATCATAAGATGTCTTTTAAATAGTAAGTCAAAGATACAGTATAAATCTTAGAGCAAAAATTAAAATTAAGCAATATTCAGAAAATTAAATACTAATTAAATAAAAATCAAATGTTTCAAAACAATTGAACTAAGAAAAAGTTTTCATGGTAGTAAAGAAAGTACTAAGAGTAAAAACATAAGATAAATACTGGAATGGCAAATAAATGACCAGCACTTCTAACAGTTTGGGGATAGGATATCACACAAAGTTCTAGCATGTTGTGGACATGCATAATGACTATGACAGTTACTGGTAGTCAGGTGTCACTTGTGGGACTGAGCTACAGCTATTTCCTTGAAATCCAACCTGTAGACCCAGATGGAATCATGACCCATAGGGTGGAAGAGAAGTCCATTTGTAGAGTGTGCTGATGAAAATATTTTTAATAACACAAAAGAATAACTGAAAGACTACTTTAGTATACCTCTTATTCTTCTGTGTTTAATTGTTTGCCCTATTTGGTGGATTCTTTCCATTCTCATTCATGGGGCTGTGATCATTTTGCTTCCTCTCTAGAACATCATTTAGTAGTCTGTGTAGGCTTGGCTTTGTCATCATGAAATTCTTTAGTTCTTTGTCATGGAAGCATTTAACTTCTCCATTATACTTGAAAAGAGAGTTTTGAAGGGTATATCAGTCTGGGTTGAAATCTGTTTTCTTGTAAGACTTGAAGTACTTTGCTCCATGCTCTTTTTGACTTGATGGTTTGTGAAGAGAAATCTGTTATTCTGATGGGTTTTCCTTTACATGTGATGTTTCTTTTCTTTAACAGCTTTTAGTATACTGTTCTTATGCTGAATTTCTGGGATCTTGATTATTATATGTCTGGGTGTGGTTTTCATTGGGTTGATGTTATTTGGAGTTCTATATGCTTCGGTTAGTGAATGTCAGATTGCTGCCCCATATTTGGGAAGTTTTCTGCTATTACTTTTTTTTTTTTAGGAGTTGCAGATCTTACTACTTTTGTTGAGTGTCTCCTACATTAGCTTTTTTTTTTCCCATAATTTTATTGATAAACAAATAGTAATGAGACAGTTTCAAATCAAATTGGTAGGACAGTTTCAATAATTAACACATTGCCTACATTCTTCCTAGTGGTTAATTGCTGTACAAGATGCGGACATGATATCCTATCTACAAACACCATTAGAACAAATCACTCTATTCATTAAGAGAATGTAACTTTATATCTATCCTAACCACTTTGAATACACAGATACAAAATG